AGCACGTGCCAGGACCCTAGACTCTCCGGGGTGGTCTCTCAGCTGCTAACTCAGTGAGTCAGGCAACATACCTGAAGGAATAGGAAGCGTGGAACATGGAAGTTTAAAAACAGGCTTCTCTTCCTTCCTGCCCCAAGCTGGTGCTCTTTGGGGTTAGTTGCACCTTGTGTTTCAAGACTTAGAGGCTATGGATAGAGCTCAAACTTTGTGGGGTTTTTTGCAAGTTAAGAAACCGTGTTTCCTGGACCCTGCACTGACCCTGTCCTGTCTGGATGGCTCCTGATCTCAGAGGTGGATGTGGTTTTTAGCCTTCTTGGCGCAGAGCTCACGAGCAATCATTTTGTTGCTAAGTGAAAAGATAACAGCAGGAATTTGTTTCTCAAGTGAAAAAGAACACATCTGTGTCCAGGTAGATAACCACCCACCTGGCTTTAGGAGAGGAGTTACTCATTTAGGTTCTGGTACAGATGCCACAAAAGTGACCCCCACCGATCCCTGCTTAAAAATCTGCTAGCCAGGAAATCCAGTCTGAGCATCATCATTATCATGGGCCCTTGAAGCTGCCCGGGATGCCCTCCCTAGACTAGAAGGGATGGGAATTTCAATTTTTCATAGCCAATCTAGTACTCCCTAAAAAGAGGCCAGTGTCTCTCCGCCTTTCCATTTAGATAATAAATTCAGTAAAAATCTAGTGCTTCCCCCCTTTGTTGCCAAAGGAGAAAGACTTCTTTCTGCAGCAGGAATGCAGGGGGCAGAGTTCGGGAGACTTAGCTGGAGGAAACTGCTATTTAGTTGATAAAAGCAGACTGTGCTGATGACCCTGTCTGCTCCCCCCCCTTTCAGGCTAACATCCTAATGTTATAGGATCCATCCAGGCTACCAGAATGACACCTTTCCGTCAGACTAGGAAACAATGTCCTTTTCAATAGTTAACAAATGTTGGGAGATTTACCAAGATAAGAAATTGAATCAGCAGCCCTAAGAGTGACTGGAAAGTACATTTTCCTCAAGCTTACTATTTTGCTCAGTGTTTAGAAGAAATCAGGCCTTGGGCTTAATTTGTAACATATGCTATACTCTGCATTCTCTTTTTAATTGATGAATCGAATAATCCCTCGGTTGGTTTATGATTGAAATATTGGTTAACTTGCTTTAATTTAGCTGTTGAAGGTGATTAGGATATTTATGAGAAATTTTTAAGAAGATCTGATTTTAGAAATGCTGATTTGTCAGGCCAGGTGGAACTTCGCCTTGTGACTTTACAGAAACACTCCTGTGCTTATTAGAATCTGCCTATCCACGTGTGGGCACGGTTTTCACAGTAATCATACTGGAAAGTAACGTACTGAACCCAGTGTATGTGCTTATGGAGCAATAGGTTTGAAAATGACCCTGATCATGATCCGCACAGACCCTCCTGGCTTGAGAGATGGTGCTTTCAGAAGAAAACATCCTCTAAAGGTATCATGCTCCCACTGTATTTAGCTTAAGCAGATGAGGCTTTATAAATTTGATGATTCCTTAAAGTATTATATTTTTAACTTCCTTTTAGTCAGCTCTTTGGAGGATTTAAACAAAGGGGCTGGAAGAAATTAAAAGGAGTCTCTCTAACTGATCCTCGGGCATATCTCTGAGCAGATCAAAGATTAATCTTCCTGGAATAAATCCTTTATTCTTAGTGGGAACTGTGTCTGCTTTTCTTGCACCTACTGCAGTGAGGGAAAAGAACACAGAATTATTGCCCTTGGTACAGAAGGTAAAAAACACCAAACAGCATTTGAGGAACAACTTCATTTATGCTTTTACAGTAATTTCTTCAGCTTCTAAGGATTCAAGTTAGCATCTGTGCAAAGTGAGGATCGTGTATTTCAATTAAAAGTTAAAGTGGAGTTGTTTGTTTAATGAGTACTTTGGAATCCTTGGCACTCAGTTAATAGCAAAGGCTCTTTTTAATTTTAAGGTCAGATTCCTAAGTATTCTTAAAGGTATACTGTTTGGAACAGATGACATTGTATCAGTTAGCTACCGAGACGTAACAAGCCACTTCAGAATTCAGTGGCTTACCGCAGCCAGTATGACCAACCTTCATGAGCCTCTGGTCACCGGCACAGCCCTTCTGGCCACACAGCCAGGCCCACTCACATGCGTGTCAGCCCTGCTGGCCTCGGCTGGTCCTTTCACGTGGGGGGTCAGCTGGCTGTGGGCTGGCGGAGGATGGCCTCAGCTGGCAGTGAGGAGGTGTTTAATTGTTGGCGTGTTAGTGCTTACTGAGGGGACCTGCTTTCCCCCTTCTCAGCTTAGCTCCAAGTCTGTTCTCTGGGGGCCCCACAAGGAGCCAAAGTCATTGTCTGCCTCTCAGGTGTTACCTTCTGTCCTACCTGCGTCCTTCCCTGCCCTGCACAGCCTGACTCAGCATAGTTATGGAATTTAGTTATATCATTTTATATTATGCTTTTTTTAAAGGTTAACATTTCATAAACTTTTTTCATGGTTCCATGGTCTTCATAACTAATTTTTAACAACTTTATAAGCTACTGAATTAATATGTCATTAACCTATCATTATTTAACATTTTGCCCAATTTTTATTCCTTTGAATGATGCTCATATGAACTTTTTAAATATATAGTTCTTTTTCTTCCTATTAAAATAATTTCTTCAGAATCTGTTGCCAAGCCTGGAATTCCTAAATGAACTTATCATTGTCATTACTGTTCCTAATATTTTATTATTATTATTATTGTTACTATTAGGTAGGAAATGTGATTCTCACTGTATGGAGCAAAATTGCAAAATTCTTACCTGAGAGTCAGCTCTAATTTACAATGCTGACAGACATTAGGAGGACCCTGGAAATGGCACTTTGTATTCGTCCAGCCTTTCCTTCGCTCATCCCTGCACTGTAATAATACATCATAAAAACATTTCAATCTCAAATATTTAAAATAAAGGACTACAATCTAACTTTGGAATTCCACTTATTAGAAAATAACCGGGTCCTCCCCCATGCTGAACATCCACAGACAAGGGATGGCAGTGGTGTGTGTGCCTTGGAGCTATGTGTAGACAACGTCACATAGAGATGCCTTTCCTTGTCTGTCCAGGGAAGATGCTGCAGCTACACGTGAGTCTGTGCTGCCCCAGCTGGAAGGCCAAGGAGACCGGTGGTAGCGCCCTTCACAGGGATATTGGCCCCATGGGGAAGTTGGAAAACCATTTACGTGGGCCCTGAAAGAAATGACACATTTCCTTTCTAAGTACCCTCTGGAAAAATATCAGACTATTGTTTCCAAATAACTTAAAAATAGAGCTTGACACGGAACGGACATGTTTCTCAGGTTTGGGTTTAAGAGACGACTTTTTCTTCAGATGGACATGGTCTTGGGATATCAAAGAAAACCCATCCACTAGAAAAACGGATGGGATGAGCGCAAGGAGAACAAAGTGAGTTTAGGCGAGTGGGTGTAAAGTTGTCACAATATTAAAGGAAAAGTTAAGCTGTTTTAGGGGAGAGAGCAGCTTGGATATTCATCTAGACAGAAAATGTTGTGGTTTTTGTAAAAATAGGACCATCTGATCTTGACACTTTAGTGATTATGTGGTTTATTAATATCATCCTAGAGTTTTTAATAGTTTGCTCCTGTAAAGTGTTACTAAACTGTATTATTGTGTTGCTTTCCACTTACTGAATAGTAGATTTTGCTTCCAGTTTACTGAATAGTAACTTTTTTTGTTTGTGGAACTTGTTGACGTGAACACACAGCCCACCTGAAGCCCGTTTTTACCACCATTCGTTGAACTAGTGAGACGTATTTTGAAGAAACACAAAACAAACTCCTGTACCACTTAGTAGACATCACACAGCTTTATTAGGTTCTTGGGAGTGTTAACATTGTTTTGATTTAGTCTTGGAAGTGGGGGATTTCAATGCATTGTCTAAGGAAGGGAAAGAATAGGCCTGAAAGACCGAAGGAAGGGAATTCCAGGTGGAAGGTGTGAATGCAGAGGCGGAGCAAGTTGTAGTGCTGATGCTTGTCCAAAGGACATAATACTGTCTCAAGAGTGCTGGGGTCTAGGCGGGCTCCACACTGACCTTGGGCTAGTTTAAGTATCATCCTGACGCTGCATGAAATTAAAATTTGACTTTTCCAGGTTAGATGACTGATTGGAAGAGACAACCTTCACTGTTCCTGGCTCACAGCAGACTCCTTTGTTGCCTGAGTCTGCTCTTCTCTCAAGGGGACACCAGGGAGAGCACGTACCCAAGTCCTCTACTGAGCTCTCTGCATATTCATGACCCACACTTTTGGGGTTGATTGGAAGGCCAGTGACCTTGACAAGGCACTGCACGAAGCCCTGATCCTCAAGTGTTTTGGCCTTTCCCTTTCTCTGGAAATGGAGCAGAATCCTTGAGCAGATTTAAGGCCTCTGGGAGAGTTGGCCTTTCACTTACTACACAGCTCCTTTGGCTTCATCCCGTATGTTGCACATAAGTAATAAGATGTATCCATAAGCATCAAAGTGTAGTATAGTGTTACTAGTTCAGGCCTTGGGATCATCATTGTGAGCTTCTGCTGANTCTATGTTAGGTGACATAAAATATAGTTAGCAAAGTGTAGTATAGTGTTAGTAGTTCAGGCCTTGGGATCATCATTGTGAGCTTCTGCTGATCGTTTTTGANCAAAGTGTAGTATAGTGTTACTAGTTCAGGCCTTGGGATCATCATTGTGAGCTTCTGCTGATCGTTTTTGATGAGGGAGTCATACAGCAGTGGTACCCATCCTGCGATGTGCCCAGGTAAACTACTGCCTGGAGAGAAACAGTCTTGGCGGGGGAGGAGGGCTTAGGACCACCTGAACTACTTGAAGATCGCCTCTCCCTGAGATGCAGGCAGGCCCAGGGTCGGTTGATCCCCTGATTTGAGACAACCAACCCCTAGTGGGCCCTGAGCACAGGGCGGTGGGATGCATGGCTCCTTGGGAGATGTAGGTGCTGGATGACATGCCCGAGGTGGACCAGAGGGAAGAGCCCAGGTAACCCGAGAGGAAGCTGCTCTGCGGTGGGCATGCTGAGAACAAGGGCCAGCGCCTTACTTAGGATTTATTGCTGCTGCTTTAAAAACAAACAAGCAAAAACCTGCACCACCATTATCACACCTGAAGAGATGAACAGCACTTTTTAAACATCATGAAATATCTAGTCAGTGTTCATATTTTCAGTTGTTTCATAATGACGTACAGGTATGTAACAGTTTGACTGACTCAGAATCCAAGTAAGTCTGTGCCTTGTGATTGCTTCATGTGCCCCTTACGCCTCTGTTCACCGGCTGGTCCTCCATCTCGTCTTTTCCTCCCTTGCAAATTATTTGCAGAAAAAACTGGGTCATTTGTCTATAGACTTTCCTGCAATCTCTATTTTTTGCCAACTGCACCCCCGTAGTAGTGATTCTTGTGTTTCTCTGTATTTCCTATAAATTGGTAGTTGGATGTCGAGGTTTGGTCAGATGGCATTTTAAAATAAAGTTGGTATCACACTGCATTTACCCATTTGTATAGGGCTTTCACTTAACATATTGTGAATATTTCCCCGTGCCATGAAGTATTTTTCATAACTTGATTTAAATGGTTCCAAACTGCCAAGAGGCATACCGTGAAAAAGTTTTAACCTCTGAGGGTTGTGGAAGAAGAAAGCCAAGGGGTCATGAACAGTAACCAAGAACCCACAGATAACAGCCCAGCGGTTCACCCATTACCTCAAAGAGTGTTACATTTTGAATTAAGATGTTGAATTACAAACTGTAAAAAATCAAGTCTGTTCATATGTGCATTAGTCTGATCGCCCTCTCTCTGTCTTTTAATTTTGGGTGTGAACTTGGACTTTCTACAACTTCCTGTCACAATATGGGTACCTAAAAAGAAGCCCGCCTGATTATCTGACCTTGTTAAATGGCATTTGAATGAAGAGACTGTGTGTGGGATTTTTCTTGGTGTCTCATGCAGACATAGTGTATCAGTCCCTGCTTATTGCAAACAACAGAAATCACTCGGGCTGCCTTAATCCGCCGAGGGTGTGTATGGTGAGGATGTTGGGGTGTCTGCCTCCCAGAACCCAAGTCTAGCTCGGCCTCAAGCAGCTGGCGCGATGGATTTTCCACCTTGACTCTCTTCAGCTCTTTTCTGCTTCTCTCCATAGGTCAGCTTTGTTCTTTCTCTTTTTTTTTTGATGTACACAACCCTCCAGTCCCAATTGCAAAACATATGACCAGAAACGGCCCTTTCAGCCACTGGAGACATGCTGCTCTCTTCTCTCTCCTGGTCTCCGATTTCCCAGGGAAGGAATTGACTTATCCACCTAGGGTCAGACGCCCATTTCAGGTCTAGCCAGTTGTGATCAGGGGTGGGGTGTCAAGAGAAATTCTGAGTGATTGAGCTTGGCAGAGGCTCCGTCATGACCACTGGCGTGCTGTGCTAGTGCCTGCTCCCACCGTGAGGCCGCGGCCAGTTCACACAGCACAGCATCCTGCCCACCGCGCTGCCGGGCCATCTGGTGTATCATCTGATTTATGTGGGTGAATGAACATCAACATCTAGCCTTTGTTGTCTTTTATTACGGTCTGATCCTACAGTAATCTGTATAGCTCTTCAGCGTGGTTGGACAAGTCCTGACAAGCGCACCCACCCATGTAGCCACCTCCCCACAGCTTGCCATTCCTTATTCCAGCAAATTCCCTCCTATTTGCATCCGATCCTCCCCAGAAGTAAGCACCGTATCCTCGTGGACCGGTCTTACTTGTCTTGAACTTCAGTTGGAATGGGCACACGCAGTGTCAACATTTAGCCTCCCTGTATCTTAGTCCAAGGTTGTGAACATTAATCCAGTGCTGGCTGGGCGCCAGTCTGTTGCTTTAGGAATGCAGGAGTGATTGCGACAGGCTGACAGTAAGGGACACCAGCTAGGAGTCACCCAGAGGCAGAGCACCGCCGCGCTGAGGCCTCGAGGGTCCTCGGGGTCCAAGAGACGATGCCCTGCGAGCCAGCGAGCCAGGGTCAGAGTATTTATTCCTGTTGCTCCTCGGAGGCGATAAGCCAAGATATGAAGCTGGCTGTTTCGGCGATGTGTCATTTTCCTGCCTGTGCTCCGGGTTTCCGCATCGTCCTGCGTGTCCTGATAACAGCAGACCCGGCGGCCTGGTGTGGAATGACTTCCTCTGGGCCATGAGACGGGGCGGGGTGGGGAGGGGGGTTCTGGGCGACTGAGCCACGGCGTGGGCTCTGCCTTGGCCGCGTCCCCCGTTCTCCAGACACATTCCCTCCCACACGGACCTGCGCCTCCCCTCCCGGCTCGGATGTCGGGCGACCAAGTGCACACAGTTCGTTTTTACCAAGGACAGCCATTCATAATGCTCAGTTTTCTTTGTGTGTAGATCATTATATTGTGAGCATTTTCCATACGGTTATTTCAAATCCTGACTCCTAACTACTACATACCTTACCACATATGGTCATACTATATGTAAATGAATGTGTGTGTATATAGTACATTTACTATATATAAATGTACTATACACTGTGAACGTGTGTGTGTGTATGTTACAGGGGTGGGCACACGTAGGGTTACAGTTCGCATGGAAAAAGACACACAGGTCAGGATCATCACAGTAGCTGCATAAACTGTTTCGCGTGCTCACAACTGTAAACCTATGTATGCCCACCCCTGTATATGTTTGTCCAATTGATTAAGTTTATAAGGCCAGTTGGGTCATAGTATTGAACATAAAATACATTTTACAGGAGCATAAAAGAAGATAAAGTTACTATTTTTTCTCTCTTTTCTCCACAGAACCATCCGAGTATGGCTGAAGAGAGACAGCGGCCAGTACTGGCCCAGCATTTACCACACGATGGCCTGTGAGTAGCGGGATGTCCAACTTGGGGAACGTGTCTCTACTGTCATTGGTGATTTAAATGTTGCAATGTCTGATTAAAAAGTGCAGCCAGATTTCAGACCGAGTTCCTCAGTTGCCTAACACCTCCCACAGGCGGTGCCTAACTGCAGGAAAACTCCTTTTCTTCTGCAAAGGAAGTTGGGGCCACTGGCTTAACTGAAGCAAACTTGAGCAAAACTGAAAAAACAAAGAGGAAAGGGCATGCCCCCCCCCCGGCTTTCCTTAATTTTGCCAGCTTATGCTGGTAGTGACTTTGTACCTAGCAGTAGCTGACACTGGCCTCTGCGCACTCCATACCCTCCCGCCCGGCCTTGTGCCCAGCCTCTTCCAAGCCTCTGGGTTCCAGTGAGAGATTTGGTCCAAGGTACAGCACATTTTATTTTATTTTATTTTATTTTTAATTTTTTTATTTTTTAAATATATTTTTATTGATTTCACAGAGAGGAAAGGAGAGGGAGAGAGAGAGAAACATCAGCGATGAGAGAGTCATTGATCGGCTGCAGCCCGCAACCCGGGCATGTACCCTGACTGGGAATCGAATCCCGATCGCCTGGATCCTAGGTCGACGCTCAACCGCTGAGCCACACCCAGCGGGGTTTTCCTTTTTTTTTTTTTTTTTTTGGT